TATTTAAGGTTTTTCTATATCTCTACCACTTTCTATCTTGTTTCACAGTCTAACTTTTCCCTCTTTCGTGTGATTAATATTCTTTAGTATAGAGTAGTTTATTTGCTTACCTTGTTATTCTCCAGTCACACCCCTTAGATTTTTGTGCACTCCTTGAGAGCATGAACTTATGTCTACTTTGTCCATAAGTGAATCCTAAGTCAAAAATAAAAAAAAAATAGTCACCCAGTAAGCATTTATTGAACAAATGAATGATGCTGATAGATCTCATGTATCCTCTACTTGTCTATTTTAAATTTATCCTGTATTAATTTTTAGTACTTTGACAGCACACGGAATGATTTGCTAATAGCCTTATAATAATCTGAGTTGTAGCATATTTCTGTCATATTTTTATATTATAATTTATTCTAAAATATCCCTTTCTAGGTGTCTGGATTTCATAATGTGGTAGTGGATGAGAGGACAATATAAATAAGCTTTTAGTAAATACCTATGCAAATTTCTATCTTCTGTTTTCTTTTTTTTTTTTTTTGGCATACTCTTCACTCTCTAGATTCCAAGGCAACACCTGTAATCTTCTATATGGAAGTTCAAATTGGTTGGCCCTGCTCTTCATTTTTATTTATATATTTATTTATTTTTGGTACTATAGATTGGGGATAGAACCCAGGGAAGCTTTACCACTGAGGTACAATCTTAGCTCTTTTTATTTTTTATTTTGAGAGAGGGCCTTACGAAGTTGCCCAGGGTTACCTTGAACTTGCAATTGTTCCAGCTCAGCTTCCTGAGTCTCCGGGATTACAGGTGTGTCTCACAATGCTGGACACATTTGCATAAGTTTTTGTTAATATCTGTATTATAGGAAGGAGTGGTGAAAAAACAAAAGATAGTGAAAATAGTATCGTTTTGTTCAATAGGCATAGACAATTCTAGCTTTATTTCTTGCTAAGTAATTGGCAAGTTTTTAACTTATTAAAACCTATTGCATCATTTACAAAATAGACATAATAAAACAATACCTACATCTTGGGGGATCTTTGACATCTGTATGACACAAATGGACATAGGGACATAGCTGTTGTGTTCAGTTGTCCCGATGTACAGTGCACTTAGAATATATCTGGCAAGTAATCCAGATGTATTTCTTGTGCAATATAGAAGCCTCCTGTATGTCTATGAATGTGAAGTGCTTAGAACATTCTCTCCTGGCTTCCCAGATATAATATGCCATTTTCCTGAGCTGGTTTTTCCAAAACTATCTCCCCACCCCCATCCTTTTTCTCCAGATGATTGTATGCATTCCTAAGATTTTACATATTGCTTGCTTTTGATTTACATTTCAAACCAAACACTCTCCCCCTTAAAACCTTACCTCTCTAAACCTTACTACCCATATCTAGTTCATCAGCAAGTACAGTCTCCTCCTTAATAATACTTACCTGTTGGGCATGCAAATCAAGTCAAGATGGCGCCTGGCACTTTGCCAGGAGGAGTGGTTTTTGAAGTAATGCCAGTGAGCCATTAAGATGATGAGGATTCCTTAATGACTGACTGCTGTATCTAGATGATGTTAATTAAGTTAAGCTGTGTGTAATTAATTGGGTATATGTACCTCTGCTGTCCAGCAGAGAAGCGGCTCCGACTACCTTGGGTGCCCATTACTTTGAGTTCTCACTCAGTTCCCTCAGAGTTCACTCGCAATAAAGTAGTTCCCGCTTCAACCTTCAAGTTGCTTGTCACCTCTTGGTTATTTTGCCCAGCTAGACTACGGAACTTTCCTATTTGATTTCTGTACCTGTATAGCTCAAAATTATGCCAAGTTTAACATGTTAAAAAGAAAACAGTTAATTTTCTTCTTTCTTACAAGTTCATATGCCAGTCTATCACATCTCTTTTAATGGACTCAAATGCACTAGTTTCGTAGACTAGAAGCCTAGGAGTTACCCTAGTTCCTCTCTAAACCTTACTACCCATATCTAGTTCATCAGCAAGTACAGTGAATTTTACTTGGAACAATATATTTAACTCTATCCAGTTCCCTCAATTTGTACTGTCATCAATCATAGTCATTTCACTTTCATTCCTTAGTAGATTATTATAAATGTCTCCTAATCAGATTTCTTCAATTCATTATCCAGAATAACAGAAAGCTAGAATAATTTTCAAATTGAATTGTGTTTATCATTTACTTACATATCTTCAATAGCTTTTCGTTGCAACTGACATTAAAACTCTTTATAAGAGCCTAGAAGATTCTATGCAGTCTAGTTCTTTCTTGTCTTTCTAACTTCATACCACAATCCCTCCAATTCTTTGTGTTTTATCTACTTTTTTCATAGGGCTAGCTCCTTTTTCTCATCAGTTTTCAGCTGAATTTATCCCTTTGAATACCTTCATAAGGCCCATAATTATAGAGAGCATGCATAACTTGTTCACTTTTGATATTCAATTCCCAGGAGGAATTCACAACATAAGTGTGCCAAGAATACTTGTTAAAAGAGTTAATAAATAAATGGCTGGAGCATGAAAGACAATGACCGTCACTATCCAGGCAATGATCATTACTATCTATACCCAGTAGATCTTTGCTGAATGAGTTAAATAATTTAGCATATATAAGCAAGGCAGTCTTTCAGTTACTATATATATATATATATATATATATATATATATATATTATATATATTATATATTTTTTGAAAGACATACATATATATACACACACATACATAGTCACTGAAAGACATACATATATATATATATATATATATATATATATATATATATATTATACAAACACACCGACATATACAGTTTCTCAATGTATAGGGTTTTCCTAAAACAACTGTACCTAATAAAATGCTTGGGATTCCTATTTCAGCTTCATAAGTTTAATGGGTTGCTTCTGGTCTCATATCATTGTGATACTCTTGCTTAAGAAGTTCATGCTGTTTTGTTATTTTGTCCACTAATTCTTAATATAATGAGAGACTGTGCTTTCGTTCTCTTTATTTATTTATTTTTTTGTATTCAATGTAGTTCACATGACCACAAGAATTAGCAATGTTCTTCAGGTTTTTGGTCCAAGGAGAGTGAAAGGGAAATTTGAAAATATTCAGATAACTTCCCAGTGAGAACATTAACATCATTCTTTGTTTCTTTTCCTCTTGTCTAAAATGCCAACTTTTATACCAAAAATTAATTTTTCTATATATTGCCAAGCACCTCATTATTCAGGAACATCTAGTTATTAATGAGATTTTTTTATTTTAGCATTTGGCACAATACTCAGGGAGCGCTTCTCTGTTGCCATAGGATACAGTTGAAGGAAACAGTGAAAATGAGGGTAGGAGTAATTAGAAACATGATTCAAGTTACATTCATCTTGTGTCTGGCTAAAATTTCTTAGGATTTGATGAATTTTGAAACCGTTAGTACTCTTGTAGAGCATGAAGATTAAAAAAGAAAATTCCTGAAAAATCATTATTACCTGTTTTAAGAGATACTGCTTAGGGAGTTAGTCATTTTAAAACAACTTAAGATCCTTGACTAACATAGATGACAACATACCGAACTAAGTCTCTTACCCAAACCCTTTAACTAAATAAAATCATTAATCTGTCAGTTCTCTTTTACAAATTATGCTAGACTTTGCTGTAGGAAGCGTGAGGCAAAATCTCCTTCTTTTCAAGAATTTAAAATGAAATAGATGGCTGTGTTCATAGATATACTGTCTACCCTTGAAGGATAGTTACAAATGTGCACATTTCCAACCTTTTGAGCCTTAGCAATGTGGAAATTTTTTTCTGGATCAGAACTGGAGGACTGATTACTGTGAATTTTATTACAAGACTCTGTAATTACTTTGAAGATTCTCTAGAGGACCAGTTGGGTTGCCAGAGAATTTTCTGTCCTTAACACCTAGCTGCAGAATGCCCTTGGAAATTTAATAGCAAAAGATCATGTCTTGAATATATATAGTCCTATTCAATTTACAAAGTATTTACATAGCTGATATCTCATGTGAATCCCCATAAGGGCAGTCTAGCACATATTATCCCCATTTTTCAGATAAGGAAATTCTGGTACTGGGAAGTTGAACAATTTTCTTATTATTTTTAAATAGCAGAACTGGGATTTGAACCTATATATGCTTTTCTCCAAAAATTCGTGCTCATGCCACCATTATTTGCTGCCTATTTGGAGGGCATTTTGATTTTTAATATACCAATCTTCTTTTTCTCCCCCACAGTTCATGTAACTTGAATTATCTGCCTCTCTTTACTCATCTTTGTTATATCTTACATGTGAATTAGACAAATAACTCATTTTTTTCCTGGAAAGATCAGTCCATTATTTTCCATTGAATTTAGACAAGGAATAATCAGGTTTTTATCTTAATTGGTTTATTTCATTTATTTATCAATTTCCGTGGTTCTAGGAATGGAACTCAGGACCTTCACATGGTAGGGAAGTGCTCTACCAGTGAGGTATATCTCCAGCTCTTTAAATATAACTTTTAATAATATAATTACAATAATATAGATAATTAATTTATGCTCAGTGCTGAAAAATTGTAAAGAAATATGAAGCTTAATAAGCATTAAAATAAAAAAAAACATGATTATATCACCCAGAGATCACCAATGTTTAATACTTCGGGATGCATTCTTTCTAGAATTTTCTGTTCAAAACAGTTTTTCTACTAGGTTGCTCTACCTTTCTCACCTCTGCATGAGAGTAAAGTTTTGCCTGCCACATGTCATATTTTTGTGCCAGATGAACAAAGAAAAATTTTAATCTAAGCAAGGCAGAACCAAGAAGCTATGTCATCTATTTCATGAAATCGCAAAGGAAACAGACAAGTCAGAAATAGTTTGTAATTATTTTGTTGTTGTTATCCATATCACCAAATTTCCTCTCTCCACTAGCATCATTAGAACTTCCCTAAACTAGTTGTGCTTATGTTGTTAAAAACCCATGTTCTTTTCTTTCAGGTTTTGAAGACCATGATCACATGGATGCACCTAACTAAATGCTACCTGGGGACATGGTGGTTCTTTAGAGAACACATCTAAATTGCTAACTAATTCCTTGGTGTACCACTCAACACAGGACATCATTTGATTTTCACTATCAGAAATCTCCAAATTTTTTCCACCATGCTATCTTTATTAGCTTGAACTCCTTCCCTAAAATGGTCCTTCTGTTGATCCTGTCAGTCCTGCTTTTGAAAGAAGATGTCCGTGGGAGCGCACAGTCCAGTGAGAGGAGGGTGGTGGCTCACATGCCAGGTGACATCATTATTGGAGCTCTTTTTTCTGTCCACCACCAGCCGACTGTGGACAAAGTTCATGAGAGGAAGTGTGGGGCAGTCCGTGAGCAGTATGGCATCCAGAGAGTGGAGGCTATGCTACATACCTTGGAAAGAATCAATTCAGACCCCACACTCTTGCCCAACATCACTCTTGGCTGTGAAATAAGGGATTCCTGCTGGCATTCAGCTGTGGCCCTAGAGCAGAGTATTGAGTTTATAAGAGATTCCCTCATTTCTTCAGAAGAGGAGGAGGGCTTGGTACGCTGTGTGGATGGCTCTTCCTCTTCTTTCCGCTCCAAGAAGCCTATAGTAGGGGTCATTGGGCCTGGCTCTAGTTCTGTGGCCATTCAAGTCCAGAACTTGCTCCAGCTTTTCAACATACCTCAGATTGCTTACTCAGCAACAAGCATGGATCTGAGTGATAAGACTTTGTTCAAGTACTTCATGAGGGTTGTGCCTTCTGATGCCCAGCAGGCACGAGCCATGGTGGACATAGTGAAGAGATACAACTGGACATATGTGTCAGCAGTACACACAGAAGGTAAGTTCTTTTACATGCATGAAATATGTCTTCTGATGCATTCATCAACTTCCCTATTAAAATTTCAGGTTTTGGAAGGCTCACTATTCCTTATTATTTTGGACATTGTGAGTTGCTTCAATTATACTAATATGATTCAAAGGGACTGAATGGAAGATATCTAGAGAAACATACATATTAGTTAATGTAATTAAGTAAATTACATGGTTATGTGGCCATAAATTATTTGAATTTGCATTAGAAAAGTAGAAATGATAATTTCTACTTTTGCTATAAATAATATTTGCTATAAAAATATAAAAAAATATTTGATATTATTAGATGTTTTTAAGTTTTATAGATTTTCATTGAACATCTCACATATTTAATATAAAGTTGCTCCAATTGTCAATTTTATCTCATATAGAGAGGTAGATATGAATGCATATAATAATGAACATAGCCAGTTCCAGTCCAAGCATATTATAGAAATTACCAAACAGTTTAGTCTTACATCTATTTTTTTCAATAGATTCACGGTCAAACTACAATGAAGATAAGAATGAATTAATTTCATCCTTGTATAGAACATATGTGGAAAGTATGATTCTTAACAATTCAACACAAGTTTGCTTTGAAAGTTATTCTTTATATTGAAAGGAGTGTGAGTTAGGAAAATATCTAATAATATTTATAATATATTAATACATTATTAATATATTATTACATTTATAATAACAAGTAGCTTGTTGTTGCTTATAGTAATTTAAAAATGCTTTAGAATACTATTAGTCCTTCAGTAAGGCTGTTTTGGATAGGTTTGCTTTAACTTATTGGGGTTAAGTGAGTGAAATGGTGAGATTCACTTGTTATTTCACACACTTTCCTGGACAAAAAGAGGCCTATGTTAAGCAATATAATATCTTGAAGAGTGTACAGCACATTTTTATAAATAGTTAAATGATTGTGAAGATTAGTTAAGATTTTAAAAATTCCTGTGATCACATATTATTGTGGCCCAAACATCCAATCCTATAAAATTTGATGTTACATTATTAACAAATTAGTGAAATGATCTCAGTCAGTTTAACTTTAGAGGTTAGAGATAATGATCAATAAGATATAGCAGATTTTCATTATCAAGTGGCATATTATCATGAATTAATTTAATTCATGATATACAACTGCATAAATATACAATGGAATTCTATACAGATTGAAACTTTACCTCTGGAATTTTTCATATAAATAGAGAATTAATTTGAGGTTGATATAGAGAGATTTTGAGCAAAGAGTGAATATTTGGACTAGGACAATTTGGATTATTTCTCCTTTGCTGGGAAAATTTTTTCATTTTATTCTGATCATTTTACTTTAGAAAATCAAACCCAGACAGTAGGAAAGTACACTACCTCTTAGTCACTCCTTGGCCCCTCCTTTTTTTCCTAATACTAAGATTTTTCTTATAAACTATTCTTTTATTTGATTTTCACAACCATCTGGTGATATAGAGAGTCCAGAAATTTTATAACCATTTTATTTATTTTTATTGCTCTACTTAGTTATACATGACATTAGAATATATTTTGACATATTCATACAAGCATAGAATATATTTTACAAATATAAGCATTCTAGGAGTTTAAAAATTTATCCAATATATAACTAATAGTAATATTGGAGATAGGGACAGAGGTCATAGCTGCTGACTTCTCAATCAGTGTACTATCATAATTTAATAGAATTCTATACAGTCATACTCTAAGGATACATTTGTGTAACACAAATTTGTTAAACACAAATATATGCAAGTCCTGCTGATAGTTTTGTGAAGGACAGCTCCATGTTTTATATATCACAGTCTTCAAGGGGCTTTCAATCTGGCAAAGGGTATGAAACACACATGAATACTTATATGAGCATAATTCAAGGTGACAATTGCAAATAAGTCTCTAAAGCAAATTGACAGGGAAAATTACATTCTATCTGTGGTGATGGGGGTCATGGTTATCTTAGAGGAATTTGATAGTTAAATCTTAACTGGAAGGATACTGACAATGGTTGAAAATTAAGAAGGATTGCATTTAAGCTAAGGACATGAGGAAATATGAGAAGGTGAGAACTTTCTTCTAGCTTCAGAAGAGAAAGTTTGGTCACCATATGGGAGAAGCCAATCTGAGATTGTGCTCCAAGTGAGACTCAGAGCTCCCCATGAAACTCAGAATCAGGGTCATTGACTTTTACTTATTTAAACTGGTGTCTTGATCTTAATGTGCATCAATAGTAATTGAATTGTAATTGAATAGTAATAAATTATGATACATTAACATATTATTATGTAGCAATTAAAATGAATGGGGAGCTCTATAGAAAATTAAATAATACTAGTGATTTCCAAGATTATTTTGTGAAAACAACTAGATGTGGTTCTGTGCATATGGTATTTCTACTTGCTTAAAAATGTTTTTACACAAAGCATACAATGGCATATTCATAGAATTGCTCATAGAAATAAGTAAAACAACTATTTGTCTTTCTGAGAGGAAATATAAGTAGTTAGGGAATATGATAGAATGGGAGGGATTTACTTTTCATCTATAACTTTTACATACATGTGTTCAAAGTTGTGTGTTACATGCATAATTTTTACCAACCATCTTTTGATGTGGTGTGTTACTTGCATAAATTTCCTATTGTAATATATCACTTATAAGAAAATACTCTGAGGGTAAAATTAAGACAAATGAAACTGCATTGCCAAAATTCAAGAAAATTACTATGGTGACACCATACCAGCAGGATTTAGGAGAGAATAAAATTTAGAACTGAACATTCAAAAATAAGAGGAAACACTCTGGATTATTGCTTTATGTGATTATGTTAAGACATATTTGTTTTGTTTTGATTCTAAGCAAATGTGTGATAATGGAGTTACATGGTTTTAGGACTTGTAGTTTATCAATATGAATGGCATGGGAGAAATTTTCACAAGGCAAAATTCACCTCCAGGATCTGAAAAGTCCTTGAGTCAAATGAGATACAGCCCTGTTGGATTCTGTGGAAGCTCTCCAAGGATATGCCTGGTTTTCTGTTGCTTGGCCCTTCAAAAATCCTCAGTGTGATCTTATAAAAACTGAAAATGCCAGTTCTTACTTTAGCTTCTCTCTCTGGCTTGCTTAGGTTAATTCTCCGTAGTCACAGAACAATCAGTCCTGTACCTTGTACTTTATTTTTATGTTCTTATAATTATGCTCTTTTGCTTTTCCTTTTTGAAAGGTATAAACATTTCCAAACACTTTCACATGAGCCATCAAGTTGTATGAAAAGATATGGTCCTATTTTCAAAAACATCTACCCCAAATTACTTCAACCTGACAGTACTATGTCACTCAATCATGACAGCTACCACAGATATTTCTTCAAGAAAGTGTATGCTAGCCCAGAAATCCAGAGGAGAACACTGGAGACCTGAGTTTGAGCTTTAATATTAATCCACTAAACTTGGACTTCTGTGATTTATGAATTTTATAGTCTGAGGGAATGACTATTTATTGTGGCTTATTGTATGAAACAGAAATTATGCTTAGAACTTCCAGGCAAAGAGATTCATAGTACAAAACAAAACAAAGAAAATAGGTTTTTTTCAGGGCAGAATAAACTAGCACTTTGACCCTGTAGACAAAGGGAAGATGTAGTGACTCAGGAGAAATATTTCACCTTTTTAAGGGAGTCAGTCTAGTCAGCACCCTCTCTGCTCTAAGACAATTTAAAGGGACACTTCCCTCAGTACTTTTCCAAACCTAGACCTATATGTCCATTATAGTACAGGATCAATAATGTTTATCTGTTCAGGGCTGGGGAAGATCTACTTAATTGGTGACTTCAGTTAACTGGTCCCTAAATCCACATTATTCACTTTGAAATTGGACAGTTCTTTTCCACTTTTATGTACATTTGGTCTGGTTACTCATTGCTTTAGTAAATAAAATTTGGTTGGAGTGGGGACTTCCTTGCTAGTCTGTCTTGAAACTTGATCATTACCATGTGAGGCAGGAGTATCCCCAAGTTTTCCATATGAGATTATTGTGAATCTGTTGACATTAACCATGTGAGATCTCACAATAGATCAACACAATTACATTGCAGACCCACAGCCTATTGCAATCACATAAATGACCCAGCTGAAACCATAAACGTTTCCTGGTTGACTGCAGACCCATTTGTGAGCAATGATAAATGCTTTCAGGATGGAGGTCAAAAGAACCATACTCATCCCAGTGACTTTAGATTCCAGCTCCTCTCCACACAAGTGGGTACCATTGTTATGCCTAAACTTTGAAATCAAAACAAAATAAGTTTATTTAAATTAAATGCATTTAAATTAAATTTATCTAAATTAAAGAGAACAAATGTGCAGGCAAGAAATGCTTCATTGTATAAGTAATGCTTCAACCCCATATTCATGGGGATCAGTGCAGTATTTCTATACATGAACAAAGCTTATACTGATCAAATACACGCATACATAGTCTTGTAATTGGATATTTAGTTGTTCCTTGAAACCTAAATACTATAATCACTTTTGTGTATTCCATTATTTTTTTTATTTTTTTTTGTATTTCATTATTCTATTATTCTGCTAGATCTACCTTAATTTCATTGAGAAAAGTAATTACTGGGCTTGGTTTACTATTCAAAACCAAACCTACTGTACTCTCTACATGATTCACAGGATTTTCACACTTTATAATTTTTGCTGACTTTAGTTAGAACTCTACTGTATATTCCCCAGGGTCTATTGGAGTATCCAGCATATTATAGGTACTTAAAGATGGTTTGCTGAATTGATTAATTTCTATTAGAATAATATATAACCCATTGTTTATGACTATATAGTATGTGGATAAATAGCAAGCACTTGTAATTTTTCACAGTTTTGCTTTTTTATGAAATGAGGTGCCAAAATGCCTCCCTTGATTAATTGTAAAATGCGGTTCACACTTCACTCCCTTTTTTGTTTT